AGACATAAACAAACAATCTACCTCAACTGGTCTGATTGTGCTGTTGGACCAATCTGTCTGTTGAGTGATAACCACAAAACTGGAGGTAAACACTGTGCTATATGTGCAGTCACAGCCTGCCATTTCAAATCCCAGAATTACTTGACTCACCTGAAAGTCAGGTGTTTTTTTTTAAGTTCACCCACAGATCAGACTGATTGTGCTGAAATCATGGACTTCAAAATATCTTGTCACGATATTGAAGCGAGTGATCAAACATATTTTGTTAAAATTGTTCTGACATAAAAATCATTACACCCTCCTTAAAAAATAAACAGTCTCTAAACATTAATCCACTTTTCAAAATATTTGCTTCAATTTTAATTTTCGTTAAATTTGGAGCAATCCCATTTGACACACATGCCTCTGCAAGATACTGTATTATTTCCACTTTGCAAGAGTACAGACGGTCGGGCATGGTGGTGACTATTAGCAGAAACTGCACTTTCCATATCTTCAATCACTGAGAGCTGAAGACTGAAAGAAAGCACGTGAAGGTCAGGTTATTTGATGGGCATGTAACGTGTTTAAATTTAAAGCTGGGGACTTGCTTTCCACCAAGAGTTGGTCTATCATTTCAGTTATTCCAGCAGATTTGCACAATAAAGTTTTGTTTTATTTCATCGTATGCAGCTGGCAAACTGGGAACCATGCAGATGTACTGAATGGGCAAAAACTCAAAAATCAATAATTAGTTGATAAAATATTGACAAAAGCTCTTTAAAGTGTTTCAGAGGGAGGAACGCTATTGATTAAAGCATTTTCAGCAATTTTTAGAATACATTATTTTTGTAAAAAATCACTAAACACATCAATGGTCCTAAAAAGACTCTTGGTGAATGAACGTCCATGTGCACTGCAGAGCAAGAGAAGAAAGCAAAAACAATTACTCCAGTGTTACAATACATTTGAAATGTTTTATGATAGATAAGTATATAATCTAATTTACTGTCTTAACAGTGCTCATAATGAATGTGTAAATCCACGCAGTCTTTTTTCAAGTATTACTATGAATCTGTTGAAGATGAGTTTCCTTTATTCACGAACGAAGTTGTCTGAAACATAGTAAAACAATGCTTCTAAAGCTGCATCCATTAAAATTCATTCAGCATAGCTGTTCCAGAGGAGCAGACAAGAGGAATTGGACTCCTGGAGAGAGTTGAAATCATTATTTGATCAAATTACCAATCATAATTTTGATATCTGGTTCCTTTTATTCTGGCTGGTTGCTTCAATAAAAAAAGGCAAACTTCTGGCAGAAGCTTACACAGTGTTTTGTTGAGTCATTCATTCGCCTAGTGTTGAGCTGTCCATTTCATGCAAGCATTATAGAAATGTACCATACATTACTGTGGCCATTACTGAAGGTTACGGTGCACTATAATTTACTTACATTCATAAACAAAGTTATAATTACTAGGAGGCCTGAATCAGTGTATGAAAAGCTCATTTACTCTGATCAAATACATAATTACGTTACTAGACACTCTTGGGAAAAAAAATAATTGTAAATCATGCTAGAACAAACTTGCTACAAAAATCAGTAGTTTATAGGGCTATTAGGGAATGGGATAAATTACCCAAAAACATTAAATGTCTAAAAAGCACATGTTCTTTTAAAAGAGCACTGAAATCTTATTTGTATTAAATTTTATTTCGTCATTATCATTGTTATCATTATAATTGGTTTTATTTTGGTTTTAACTAGGTTTTTCATTTCTTTTTATCAGTAACAAGGAACATCAACAGAGCTCTTCAATTTTAGGCCTTAAAGTATCAGCACGAGTGGTACAGATTACATTTTGTCAGATATGGAGACACTTTTTTTCTACCACCTCATATGAGGCAGTTTGATCGGATTGTGTTGAGTTTAACAAATTCATTTGGCTGCAGCTGTTTGCATTAGAACAGAGGAGCCCAAAGTGGAGCCCGCGGGCCAAATTTGGCCTGCCAAGCCATTTGATTTGGCCCACCAGCAGTTGACATTGTTACCAGGTCATAACCTGTCGTCCTATGTAGAAAAAGTATTTCCACTTTGTCATTTTCTCCATTGGCCCACTGACTATACAAGGGGCTGTAGTACAGACAGTTTTCACTCATGGTTCTAACTTTATCTTTGATATATTAAGATTAAACATGAAATGTGAAATACAAGTAAAAAGTGATATTTAGATTAGATTTAACCCCACATGTATACCTGCACACTTTATAAGGCCAGAAAAACTCATATTGTATCAATTTATGAAATTTCCCATGAGCCTTTGCTACTTGAGCATAATGGCAAACTTTCTCCAAGTGCCCAGACTAAAACAAAAGCAGGCCACCACACTGGCTGCTAGCTTAATCGCTACAAAATAAAGGACTTTACTAAAATAGTATTTGTATTTCTTGTATTATATTACTGCATTTGGCCCACAGCCCCGGATAGATTCTCATTCTGGCCCTCTTGGGGAAAATGTTTGGGCGCCCCTGCATTAGAACAATAAATACTTAAAAGAGGAGAGAGGTTACACTTCAAGATTTTATGAAGGACTAGTTTGAGCAGAAATTGTCAATTTGGCAGTTTTGTATTTTTGCGTGATCAAAAAGCAGATTCAACTTTTAAAACACACCTTGGAAAAAAAAAAAAAATATATATATATATATATATATA